GTTTCCCTTCTTGTATTCAAACAGCATTACATGCCGTATGTGTGTCTCGTCGTGGGCCATCACTATAAGGGATTATACTAAACTTTACACATTATGTAGGCTACACTAACGTGACGTTTAGGCGGTTCATTTAACTATTATATGTGATGTACGTTTTTTGGGAGATGGTTAATGAAAGTGTTCCAAAACGCGACATTAATTTCTTGACGACCTAATATATATACATACACTTTAATTTTGGTTTTAAAATTCATAAGTAGTAAACCAAAAGAATAACAAACATCTTCCTTCCATATCTTCTCCTCAATATTAGCATTATATAAACATTCATCTCCCTTAATGACAAACAAAACGAGTTTTTATTAGAAACATCTGTCAGTAGATAGGCATTGTACAACAGAACTTTAGCTTAATTACTGTACAGTTCTTTCAAGTATAGTGTATGAAATGTACATTTTTCTTGGGAAAGACAAATTCTAGTACCAACTACTTTGAATTAAGAAACAAATTGTCTGCTGTTACTTTTATAATTTCAGATACATAAAAATATAAAAGTTTGAACATAATAATATGCAAATAGACTTTGAAGCATATATTATATTATTTCTGTTTCGTTATTACGCATATTCTAATTATAAGTTAGTCTTTTGAAACTTCAGAAAACTAAACTATAAATCTTTATTAATACTTAATACAAAACTCATACAATTACTTTGAGTAAGTAACATGATGACACTCATCCCTGTTGTTAGGAACTAATTAAGTCAGTCATGACAACTGAACAGAACAATCAAAAATCAACTGAAACTTCATATTCAACAAGGGAAACAACTTCTACAATAAGTTATACAACCTTTTCTTTGTAGCTCGTTTTTCCAGCATATCTCATTTCAAATAAAACATTTATAAATCTATATCTAAAGCATAAATAATAACAGCTGCATATATTCCAACTATGTAGAGAATTGTATGCATGCTTGTCTTCATTGAAACTTATGTATCAGGAAGGGAAAAATTAATAGCAGAAAAACTTTGTTAAACCAAAAAAATCTTTAAATATTATATATTTAGAAAGCAGCTTTAAAATATTCAAAATATCTGATACCAGCTAACTATAACAAATACAAACTGAATTTCTTAATATGTTTTTACTTTATAGAGCAAAATCTTAGATACTGTTTTAACATTAAACAAGAATCAGACTTCTCTGAATATCTGAAAGAAAGAACTTAACTTTGCATAAAACCTCAATTTCAAATTTTTATTTAAAAAAGTGTACTTGTTGTACAAAGAGTTCATACAAACAGTTTAAGTAAAATTAAAACAATGTAAAATTATTAAAATAAGAGAGAACTTTAATCTCCACTAAATAGGTTTACATACCAACTTTATAAATTAGCAGAACTGAAACATTCATGGAACCTCCTCAATTTTACAACTGCAAATTTACATTAGAATCAAAGTATTAGTCATTAGTTAAATAAAATTTCATTTAATTTTTTCCAAAAAAAACATGCTTTATGAAAAAAAACAACTTATAATTTGACAACAAGAAAGGATTGTTTACTTAATTTCATGTAGCTGCTTTATATAACAATCATACCAAACTGTTACCTGTTGTTCAGAATATTCCAGCTCAAACCAATCAATTTAAATTACTTAATGGCAATATTACCTATACAATTTCAGCATCACATCTTAGAAAAAGTTGGAAGTATTATTAGTTTGTTTTTATCAACGATATTTATAAATAAACACTGATAGATCAATCATTTTATGCATCAAAATAGCAAAAAGCTACGGCAACAAGAACTGTATTGTCAAAAAGTGGCAATTTATAAACGAGTTTGAAATGACTTGCACTAACTTACTCTAGATACATCACACTTTACGATATTCTGACTGAAATTACTGTTTTGAAAGATATATGGTAGCTGTCAACAAGCTGTGACATTCAGCCCAATATTATACTTTCTTTGACTGACAAGAGTCAGTTGATGTAACATATATACACCTTATAGGTCATTCACATAAGCATGTAAAACATGCCTTTTTTGTGACCCCTGTGATAAAAAGGGAACGTTTTCTTAAAAAGATGTTATCGGACATCTGTCATTATCAATGGGATACCATGAAGTTATCGGACATCTGTCATTATCAATGGGATACCATGAAGTTATCGGAGGACATCTGTCATTATCAATAGGATACCATGAAATTATCGGACATCTGTCATTATCAATAGGATACCATGAAATTATCGGACATCTATCATTATCAATGGGATACCATGAAGTTATCGGACATCTGTCATTATCAATAGGATACCATGAAATTATCGGACATCTGTCATTATCAATGGGATACCATGAAACAGAAAAAAATATATATTTTAAGTCCACAAAACTTGACAAAGTTACTTCTAGTCAATACTTTTGCAAGATATTTAGTGATAGCAAATGGTATTATTTTATATATTTTTAAAAGCTTAAATAAACTCCTACGCTCAGTGTTTATTTTGTATGCTCATGAAGATGGCAAAATTTATGAACAATGCCTTAACATATAAACTCTGCATTAACAGTTAACTCTACATTTTAGTTAATGCTTACTGAGGTAAACAACAATCACAATACTCTCAACTCGTACGTATATTTTAACTCTGAAATCTCACATAAAATTTACAATCAAATTACACAAATAAATATTAGTTAAGTTACGATAGAGAAAAAGAGAATTGGAAAAATTCAAGTTAAAAATCGATAATTTCTAAAAACACAAATCATCTTCTTTTGTTAAGGGTGGTATATCTTTATGCAAATATTTATTTTCATTTGTGATTGTCAGGTTATTATACAGATCCTACTTGTAGAAATAAAGTACATTTTCTGACTCTACAAAGTAATAAAAATCTAATCACAATGAAAATCTCATTTGCATCTACATGCCAGTACTTTTTTACCTTTACAGAAATTCCTTTTAAACACAGAAGTTTGCCAATGATATTAACGCTCAATATTAAACACAGAAGTTTGTCAATGATATTAAGACTCAATATTAAACACAGAAGTCTGTCAATGATATTAAGACTGAATATTAAACAAAGAAGTTTATAAATGATATTAAGACTCAATATTAAACACAAAAGTTTGCCAATGATATTAAGACTCAATATTAAACAGAAGTTTGTTAATGATATTAAGACTCAACATTCTTTCTTATTCAAAATAAAAACAAGAATTATAATATGTAAACAACCAGCAACAAAGCTACTCCCCCTCCCACACACACACCAGCTCAAAAATGAATATAGACTTAACAATGGATGAGAACAGTTTGTTGGGATCATTGAAACTTTATATCGTGTTTATATTTCTCGAACCTTTGTTGTGGTACATACATTTATCAACAGAATACAAGGCACCCAGTCATTAATGGAATTTATACAGCAGTAAACAGTTTTTCCTCTTGGATTTATTTACATACAGTATTTCTACAATAGTTTATTATTTGTTATCCTTAAAGATTACAAATCTATGAGAATGTTCAGTGTTCCTCCCTACCTTTCTCCAACTTGACAGTTTCACATCCTTGTCAATTTCAAGACTACCAGATTTACGAAAATCTTATCATGCTTTGTATGTCCATAAAATAACAAAAACCTTCTATTTTTATAGGAAAATCAAATCTGTCAATCCTAGAAAGATACTAGTTTCATTCATTATATTCTTCCTTCTCCACAGCAAAGCTTTTTATAGTGTTGAAATCTTCATAACATTAATCAACATTATCCTAATACAATAAGTGAACATTTGGCAATAACCTACTGTCATTTTGTTAAACTTGTACAACACGGTAATACGGAAGAGGCTTTCAACTGTTCTATCCACTACTAAGTCTATTTCCTTTTTATCTATTATTTTAGTTTCTAACCACTTTTCTATCTGAAAGCAAAACAAAATATTCATATTCATTAACATAAATTCCACTTTTAATATTCAAATCAATGTATTTCCACCATTTCTGACAGGCAATGTCGTTGCAGAAATGTTACATTTCTTAATATCTTATTTTCTAAACAGTAATGACCAGTTATAACCTCTAGCATGTTTAGTGGTACATCCAACTGTCTTTACACACCTCACATATAATTTCAGTAGCTACACACATAAATACAGCACATGCACAGACATGCTTCAATAAAACATATGGGTACTCAAACTTCGAGGTGAACTAAGATAACTGAGAACACCTGAAAAACAGTTTCTTTATTACGACTTTGTTTGTGACAGAACTTTTGTATTAATTTTATTGTTTGCAGACAGTTGGGTTTGGACAATAAGTATCAGTTGAAATACTTATGCAAGTGTGTGTGTGTTAAATTTAAATCTTAAAATTTCACCTTTTTGTCAACATTTTCATAAAATACAGCTTGTAACAGAAAAAATACTTTTACCATTAAGTTTTATATGTCATTCAACCATTTCTGTGCATGTTTTCACAGTAATAAAAGTTTAAAAAAAGTATAAAAGAGCAAGACATTCTGAAGAAACTGGTGCCCCTGTTCTTCAATCTTCTTATGCTCAAAACATAATGAAGTTGTTGCTTACTATAAAAAATTGTAAGCACTTTAGTTCCCAATTCCATTCATAGATGCCCATGATTGTCAGGTATGATATACACAACACAAAAACTGAGAGAGGAAAAAGCAAGCAAGCAATAAGAATAAGACTGTGACAACAACAAGCCTGTACATTCTTCTCAAAACAGAAGTAATATAACATTCTTCAGTGAAACGTTCTTCTTGACAAATCTTCTGCAGTCTCTTTCACTCAATTAATGGTGCTATATCTAAAACAATAAAGAAAAAACAGGATATAAGAGACATGTTACATGCAAAAATGTACTCAATTTTAATTGTTAAGTCATGCACACAATATTAATAAGTTGTATTGTTTACAGTTAAATCTTCTTTCCAGTGCCTAATTACTACATATGCCACAAGAGCTTGTATAACATATATTTTCAGTATTCTTAAGCGAACATTCTAGTACACCAGGTTCAATAGCACTCTTCAAAATTCTGTGGTAAATAATTCACAAAACAAACAAGATACATAATTTATCTCACTAGAAGCTGGTGAAAAACAATCATCATTGTTTCTTAGTAATAGTATGCTCTCAGGTTTATAAGAAAGTAATCTGGAGCTGAAGAGAAATACATTTCTATCTTCTCTATTAATGGTTTAAACAATTGCAAGAGATGACACATTGCATTAATTGTCATCAATATGATGTGATCTGATTAAAAATTATATTAAGTACTGTTGTTCTTCTGAATTACTAAATATAGGGACAGCCCTAAATGAGTATTTACAGAGTATTTATGGCTATCATTTAGTAAGGAAGTACATTTTGAAATAGGAAACATGTACAGCATTCTTTTAATATAAAAAACACACACATATATTTATATCAATAAAACTGTGTCTGTTTTCTGTATCTTCACAATTATACAATCGTTCAAACACAAGCTGAAAGCTGTTTTTACCAAATGTCGAGGTTAACTCTTTCATTGCTACATTTTCAGATAAAACCTTCCCAGTGCTAAATGCCTTTCATCTTTAATGTCAGACATGGAAATCCAACAAAGCCACAGAAGTCAGTTGTCAGCCAAAATTTATCAGAATGGGATCCTATATGTACCATTTTATATATTCTGTTTTCTGAGAAACCAATATCCTTTTTTATCTCTGTATTTCAGATTGAAAAAACTCAATTTACTGTGAAAGTATACATAATGCAAGCAATCAAAAATGGGATTTTATACATATGAGCATGTGGACAACTACACCTACTCTGCCAACGGCAGTGCATTAGAGGGGGACATATATACGTGTCCACTGCAACGAAAGAGTTCTCTCTCTCAACACAGGCTCGGTCAATTTGACCGACCATGTGACCTCTTTATACTTGTTTAAAGTCTTTATATATTTAATACTTTCAATATAATGTGTGTATCTTCACAAAAATTGGCAGTCTTTCGGTTAATATTACAAGTCTTTCACATACAAAAAT